GCTCCTGCTCCTGGGTCTGGCACATGCCAGTGCCGGCCCCAGGCGCACGGCACCTGGGCAGCCCCTGCCTAGGGTCGCGGCACATGCTTGTCCTGGCCCCGGGTGTGTGGCACCTGTGTGACCCCTGCCCGGGGTCGCAGCACATGCCGGTGCCGGGCGTGAGGCGCCTGGGCGTCCCCGCCCCTAGGCGCTCAGCAGCCCCAAAACGTTGGGGACCACTGCTTTAAAGAGAAGACTATTTCAGCAAGTTAATAGAAATATATATAGTACACTATTATTAGTATTGAATATGGATTAATCATTTTCACTAGCAGGAGAGAGGCCTGTGTTAACCTACATTTAACAAGTATAAATTATCATTATCTTGGCAGCAGGTATGTTCTAGGATTACCAAGACTAATGAGCTGATTATCTTTTCCAACTAGGCTAATCAAGACAAGCCCCGAGTTATCAGAATCCTGCACATGGTTCCCAGAATCATATATGATTTATCCAACTAATCTAAAGACTCCAGTGGCTCCAGCACAGAATGGAATTCACCATCTTATAAACAACTCCAGAACAGATGAAAGGGAAGTGTTCCTGGCTTCCTACAACAAGAGGAAGGAGAGTGGGGAGGGGAACGTCTGGATAGCCAAATCCTCTGCTGGTGCCAAAGGTTTGTTTCCCACTGAGATGCACCAGTTCTTTTCTGTTCTTGTTGTTTGATTTGTGGAATTTAAAAAAAACAGTGAAATGATTATTTTCCCCGGATCATATCTAGCCACAGTTGAAACATACCATTTTGATAGACGCATGGCTCTGCACTTTGGGCCTTTACATAAAGGCCGCATAGAACTATGTTCTCTGCTCCGAGGGAACTGATTAAAAGTACAAACTGTCATACTCTGTCTGATATTGGGGGGAGAGGATGAATACATGACCTCAAATGACCTACCCTACCTGATGCTGTAAACACGCAGTACTGCTCCCTAGCAGAGCTCTTTGTGTGGGGAATTCCACAATGAGAGACATGACATCTGTTACAAAGCCACGTGTTGGAAGATGTCATTGTGCTGTTTGTGTGCCATCTTTCAGCTGAGACACAAACCAAGAGGAAAGAGAATGTCTTTCTCAACATTCAGCTGGGACTAAGATCTGGGTTTCAGTTCCAGGATCTTCCATAGACTCTGCTTGGGCAAACCATTCCTTCCTTCATTCAGTTTCCTACCCATAAAAAAGAGATGATCATCTACTCACAGTGTTAGGAGGGTAAATTCATTAATGTTTTACCCAAGGCACCCAATGGTATAGTCAGGACTGCTAAAGGGGCGGGGGAGCTGCAAAGGGGGAAGTTGTCTTGGGGCCCAGCAGTGTAAAAGGGCTGGAGTCCTGGCCCCTTTAAATCACCACTGGAGTTCCACATGGTGCAGTCCAGGCAATGCTGAGGGCTTGCTAGGGGAAGCTAGCCCCTAGCCCTGCCTCTTCTGCCTGAGGGGCACCCCTCCCCCAAGCCCCACGTTGCCCAGGGCCCCACAAAGTCTATCGCCAGTCCTGAGTACAGTGTACGGTACCTTTATAAGTATAGTGCTAGACAGAGTCATGATATTTTACTGGAGGCAAATACTGAGCCAAAATAGAATATAGGAGAAAATCATGCAGCAGCAATGTGGAAAGAGATTTGACAGTGATACAGTAAACATAGGTTTATGGGCTGAATTGGGAGGAGATAAAGACAGAGTAGTAGGTAAGATCCACGGGGGCTGGGGTGGGGGGGTGATTCCTCTTAGTTCAGTGTTAGATCACGGTTTGCTCCAAGAATTGATGTAGATCAAGCAGCAGAGTACTATATGTAAAAGGAACTGCCAAAATTATTTAAAGTGTTAGAGGGCATGCTGTATAAGAGGAGACTGGATAAGACAAAAAGGAGGCCTATATAACTATTTAAAAAAAAACAAAACACCAGAGGATTTAATTTTAGGGTGATAGGGTTACATAAGATGAGAAGTAATTTTTTAGAGATGGGGGGACCCTGTTCTGCAAACATATACATGCAGGTAGCACCCCTGCACTCAGTATTACACCCAAGTAATGTCTTGGTGTGCAGAATAGAGCCTCCTGAAATAGGAAAAAATAGACATCTCTGGGTACCTAGAGCAGGAGTTGACAACCGAGAAACCCTCACGCCCCCCCCCCCCCCCCCCCACTATAGAAAGGATGTGGACGCATTGGAGAGGGTCCAGCGGAGGGCGACCAAAATGGTTAGGGGGCTTGAGCACATGACCTATGAGGAGAGACTGAGGGATTTGGATTTGCTGAAGGGAAGAGTGAGAAGATTTGCACAAGAGAAAAGTGAGGGGGGATTTGAGAGCAGCCTTCAACTTCCTGAAGGGAGGTTCCAAAAAGGATGGAGAGAGGCTGTTCACAGTAGTGATGGATGGCAGAACAAGGAGCAATGGGCTCAAATTACAGTGGGGGAGGTCTAGGTTGGATATTAGGAAAACTGTTTCACTAGGAAGGTGGTGAAGCACTGGAACGGGTTCCCTAGAGAGGTGTTGGAGTCTCCCTCCCAAGAGGGTTTTAAGTCTTGACTTGACAAAGCCCTGGCTGGATTGATTTAGTTGGGATTGGCCCTGCCTTGGGCAGGGGGCTGGACTTGATGACCTTCTGAGGTTGCTTCCAGCACTATGATTCTGTGAGAAGTAGTGTGCCAAGATTCTGTAACTTTCTCACTCAGTGGTGATACCCTTCTCTCCCCACCTCAGGTACAGCAAGTTAGTGTTGTAATACACCTGTGAAACAGGCTCCCATCTCTGTTAGTACTCCCATCGTGCAGGTGGTTTACCTAGAGTGTTTGGAGACCATTCTCCCAGTGTGCTTGCCATGACCCTGCTGCTTTAAAGCAGAAGTGGCATGCCAAGACTGAATTTATTCACAGATCTGTATACCCATAGGAGGTCAGAGGGTGAGGGGGCAGGCGGGATACAGTGATCATATTTTCTGAACCAGCTGCAGCTAGGGAGAACGGTTTAACTTAAATTATTAAACAGATTGAGAGTTTTAACTTTCTCATGTTAGTTTATAAAGTAAAATATTAATTAATATCTAACACAAAAGGTTTCAATGTTTTCTTTATGGACGGGGTGAGGAACCTTTTTTGGGTCGTAGGCCACTGACTCCTCTATCAGAAAGAGGCAGCAAGTGGGGAGGGAGAGGAGAGAGTGCTTCAAAGTGGCATTGCTGCTTGGAGCCCGGGGCCTCACCCTGGGCTCCATGTGGTGCTGCCATTTTGAACAGTCATGGGAAGAATGGGGCCAGCAGGGGATTGCTAAAGTTCCCCAGTGGCCCCGTGCTCCCTGTATCACTTTTGCCTTTAAAGTGTAGCAACAGCCCTGGGGCTGTTACTATACTTGAAAGGCGGAGGTGTCCTTATCGACTAATCCAATAGTCGAGGCAAATTGCTTTGACTATTTGATTAGCCAATTAATCGAAATTTTACACCCCTAAAGGGTATTAGAATATAACCTTTTAGTAGGAAACCACTTGAAGGTGTAGCAGGGCCCATCTGAAAAATAACCAGTAATCTGAACTGAAAATAGTTTTTGTTGCATGATCCCTCTATGTAGTATTCTTACAGATCTTTCTAGCATAGCATCTTCCAATCAACACCCAACAATGAAAGCTTATCATTTGGCTTCAGACTTTTCATTTTCCTCTCTATACCAGGTTGTGTTCCATTAACTTCAGTGAGAGAATCAGATGCTTTGCAATTTTCAGGAGCTGGCTCATAATTCTAATAAGCAGAAATTTGATTACTGAAAGATAGATTCATCACTAATGTAACCCAATGGAAACTAATCAAGTTACACCAGGTATAAATTTAGCCCATATGATTTCTGTTTAAATGTAATATAAACCTTTCTACACTCAGGTTAAAATACTATAACTACATACTACTTTAACCATGGCGCCAAATGCTGCAGTAATGCTAGTATGATAGGACAGTTAACTATAATTTATTTTTCAAAGAGCAAAACTAACAACTGTTTTCCTTTCCCTCATAATAGCTGTGTCGGAGTGGCCCAGTCTTCCTTTATGGTACTAGCACTGTGTGCTTCACTCAAGACAGGTCAACATGGGGACACATAGGAAAGCAAAGTGAATCAAAGGTGTGAAGGTAATGTGCATCAGTTACAGTGCACTACAGCCCATAGATGCTCTCACTCAGCAGTAAAGCAGTCTTCATTCAGTGTAACCCCATCTTTAAATTGCAGCGAATTAAGGCCACTTTACTTTGGAATAAAAGCATCCAGGTGGGGTGAGATGGAACGGAATGTTAATGTGCCTGATGTCACGCTTTTAAAATACGTCCACACTGGCAATTAAGATACAAAATTTTTGTCATTCACAGGTGCCTAAACCCCTCTTTCCCCGAATGACAAGAGTTTGGCTGGGCCAAGTGGAAATGGTGCTTTTTTCCGCAGGAAGCGTTTAGAAAATATTACAAGTATTTTGGCAACAAAAGTGCCAACAAACAGCGTTTACTCTGCCTGACTTTGTGACAGAACTGTGTTAGCACAGCCTTGTTATTAAGTTGCATACTGTAGTGTAGGCAGTTGAGTCACCTTTCTGTTCTTGAGTGCTCCCGTGCAGACAAACCTTTATTGTACTGACATAAAAAGAACAAACTCCAACACCACTGGTATAATATCAAAAGCTGACAAAATAGCTTTACTCACTGACAAAATGTCTATGTTCCTATCAACATACCCCTAGAATGAGCACAAAAATATCTACCAGGTCAGTTACAATGTTCATATTCACATACATTGTTTTATATACTAGCAAAAACTTTAAGAAAACAAAATCCTGTTCTGTGGTAGCTGGCAGACGAAGCAGACATCACTACTACAGAATTAGCAGTTACACTCCATTATCACTCACTGCCTGAATCCCAGGGCTTGTCTACACTGGCAAGTTACTATGCTGTAACTTTCTCACTCAGTGGTGATACCCTTCTCTCCCCACCTCAGGTACAGCAAGTTAGTGTTGTAATACACCTGTGAAACAGGCTCCCATCTCTGTTAGTACTCCCATCGTGCAGGTGGTTTACCTAGAGTGTTTGGAGACCATTCTCCCAGTGTGCTTGCCATGACCCTGCTGCTTTAAAGCAGAAGTGGCATGCCAAGACTGAATTTATTCACAGATCTGTATACCCATAGGAGGTCAGAGGGTGAGGGGGCAGGCGGGATACAGTGATCATATTTTCTGAACCAGCTGCAGCTAGGGAGAACGGTTTAACTTAAATTATTAAACAGATTGAGAGTTTTAACTTTCTCATGTTAGTTTATAAAGTAAAATATTAATTAATATCTAACACAAAAGGTTTCAATGTTTTCTTTATGGACGGGGTGAGGAACCTTTTTTGGGTCGTAGGCCACTGACTCAGAAAAAATCAGTTGGGGACCACACAAGTGA